TAGAATATAATAGAAGATAATGGAATAGCTTAGAATAGCATAGAAAATAATAGAATAGAATAGTTTAGAATAGAATAGAATAGGTTAGAATAGCTTATAATAGAATAGAATTGCTTAGAATAGCTTAGAAATAAATAGAATAGATTGGAATAGTATAGAATAGCTTAGAATAGCATAGAATTACCCTCTGCGGGACTCGAACTATGATAAAGCAGCATATACTGGTTCGAGGTACGCCAGTGGTGTTGACAAGACCTAGGCTATGCGAGATTCAATGGAAACGTCATTACTACTCACATTGTTGTAGGACAATTCAACTACAAGTTTTTCATCACCTTAAACGAAATGATGTAAACTCAGTTCATATATTTTGAAAGCCTACTCATAAACGAAAAAAGAGTAACATTGAAAAAAAGATGGGCAAACATCGGCTCAGGCTCTGCATAAGAGTTACTGTGCCGGCCAAAGCATGAACACCTGACAGCCAGTGGATGTGAGGGGTATAATCTCAATCAGGGTCTGAGGTCGAGGGGATTTGCGGGTAGTAACGGAACAAGACGTCTGTCTAATCCAGCAGCATAGTGTGTTTTTGAGTCTGGGCTAAAAGAAACTTGATTTTTCGTGAAGACTTCTCGGGTTTTCTTCAGATTTTCTGATCTACACAAAAGCCGGCCAGCGAGGTAACCTGAGTCTGTGAGGCTAACTTGGGCAACAGCATAAACAACAGTAACAACATCAACGGCACCAATAACAACAAGCAAAACATATTGCGGGATAAGTTGCGCACTGAGCCGATGTGACGACGCCTAATTCTCGCCCCTCGTGCCCGGCCCTCTGGCCACGACTCGTTCTTAGGCCTCGGCTCGTCTCCCGTTCAAACGAGACATGATCAATACTGAGTATAGCCTTGCTCCTATTGGTGCCTTTCTCCAGTCGTGAGCTGATTGGCTGCAGCTCGTAAATGGGGCTGACAGCAGCTGTGACATGCACACATCAAGTCGGAGTGAGTGATTCACCCTCTGCTTCACGCTTCGGTTCACCGTCCTCGGCTCGCCTCAACCCTTTACCCTTAACCCTTAACCCTTGGCACAGATGCCTCGCATAGCACCACCCGATGGTGGACAAAGAGAATGTCGCCAGCGCCTCTGCCCACGGGATCTATGATCTGTGCCTTGATCCGACCGGCGTCTACTCCGAGCCCCCAGTCGCTAAGGCGAGCGTCTCAGTGAATAGACTGGCCGCCACCGAAGAACCCGACCGATGGGTATGGCATGGTGAGTGTTTCCCCGTTCTTTTCCACCTCACGCTCCGGTCGTCCGGTCGTCCGGTCATCCGGTCGTCAGACAGACATTATCAAAACAGGATACCATTCAACATTCCGCTGCATATATTTACCTGAAATCCCAACTTTTTTGAAGTTTATCGTGATTTCCATTAGATGCATTCAATCTATTTCGCGTAAAGTGATGAAGGAGTGGTAGTCGAATTTTCCCACAATGAAATGAGTAGAGCTGACGTTTCCATTCAATTTCGCATAGCTTTGCTTTCGCAAAAGTTGTTCTCATCCAGAGTGGACGGATGAGATGCAGACGAGGTCGAAACTGCAGTCCACTTGTGCCTGGATGAGAAATTGAATGGAAACATCAGGTCTTTTGATATCTTTGAGGGAAATTTTTACTACCAGTCCTTCATCACCTTGAACGAAATAGTGTATATACATCTCATGTTACTGATTTGCTGGTAGTCTCGAAACTCTAATTTCTTTTAAGTTGACCAAAGAGTGGTAGATGAGATGAGTAAAGCTGACGTTTCCGATGCATTTCACATGGCCTAGCTTTCCCAAAAGGTGTTCTCAATTTTGCCACGTTGCCACGACTGCCCTTGGGTCAGAGGGCAGATGTGAATTTCAAGGAAGGCCAGGCCTTTTAGCACATCACATTCTTTGGTGGGAGTGTCGATGAAGCAAACGTGTTTTTTAATACATGAAGACCAAGATGTTGTGGCCTCTGGTGTGGTCGCAGTCTCCTTTCGATTGATAGAACTGGGTTGACCTCGTTGTCGCAACTTGGTCTTGTTGTCAGGGCGACTATGTAGAACGCACCTAGTCCGAATCGTCTGGGAATCATGACAACTACTACGCCAGACGACTTCGGACTCGGTGCGTTCTACATGGTCGCCCTGACAACAAGACCAAGTTGCGACAACGAGGTCAACCCACTTCTATCAAACGTGTTTTTGTTATAACAAGCGACTACGTCACTCACTTTTCGTATGTAAGTAGGGCTTCGAGACTACCAGTAAATCATTTATATGAGATGTATTTACCCTATTTTCGACAATGATATGAGTGGACTTGACGAAATAGGGTGAATACATCTTATATTACTGAATTACTGGTAGTCTCGAAACTCTACTTATATACGAAAAATATAGTGATTCAGTTAATCTCTAATTCCACCCCATAAACACGCTTCTGTATGGGTTTCTATATGTGGTTTTCTTCGTATGTTTACAAAAATGCACCTGAGTATCTCGGCCATCTTGTCTACCGATAACTGCCTCCACTGACAGACCTTGCGTTCTTGCCGCAATTCCGATGGCAAACAGTACTCTTTCTAGAAGTTGCTCGACCTTGTTTTCGCAACTTGGTCATATTGGTAGGAAGAGCTGGAGGAACGGAGTCCATACTATGCATGACCGTGGACTTGGTAGATTCCCAGTCGTTTCGCCTGTATCGTCAGTGAGCCTTGCGAGTCCTAGCACCACACTTCCTGCCAATATGACCAAGTTGTGAAAACAAGGTCAAACAAATTGTATACGACGAAAGGGAACCGCGATCATACGAAAGGCCACACCATCCTCATCTTCATATCTTCCTCGTTTTAATTCTTCCCGACCTGGCGCAAGCCCTTGATCAATGTGAAGCTCTCTACCTCCTCAACTCATTGGAGCATGATAACAACCAGCATAGCCGATCTCCATTCTTTCTGGCGCGGGTGGTGCTTCGAAATGTTTTCTGCATCTGCTGATGGATTGAGCAAATCCGGAAGAGTCTTTCTGGAAGCCCTCATCCTGACTCATATTCAGTTGCGAGGCCAGGGATGGCCTCGTTGTCTACACTTTTGGTTCCTGTGCCATTTGGAGTGACAAAGTGATAGATTCCTTTGAGTACCATTATTCTCCGATCTCAGCCAGAGTTTCCAAGCTGAGACCAGGTTACCATGTCCACAGCAATCACAGCCTCATGCATCGGCCTATTTCATTTCAGCCAAAGACAAAAGTATTTGTTCTGTTTGGTTTCACATGAATTTATTAAACTTCCTGTAGTGGTTTTCGATATAAGTAGCTTTCAAGACTAGCAGTAATTCATTGTTGTAAAGACCTTCATTTCGTATGAAAGTGCATGAAGAATAAATCAGTAGGTCAATCTCACCAGAAAACGACGGTTGATTCGACGTTCAGATTGATATATTCCCGAGGCATCTTCTCACGTTTCGAGTGGAGGGAGTCTGAGCTTTCGTTTGTCATGTGACGAACATCTTCAGAGCTGGGATCCATTCTTGCAAAGGCCTCAAGTTAACACTAAATAAGGACTGACCGGCTTTTTTCTATATGATATCTGTATATTCATTGCGAGGAAAATTTCACATATAAATGGATATATAATAGTTTTGTTAATTCACTTATAGTCAAACGTGTCTACGTGCGAATGTATGTTTAAGTCTGTAGGCAAAACCGACCATATCTTAGATTAATTGACGATTTTCGTCATATGACAAACAAAAGCCTACGCCGTCTTCGCCTGAAACGTTGGAGGATGCCTCGTGGACTGCACCAAACTGAAGTTCGTATTAGAGCCAAACCGCAGCACTACAACTTGAATCAACTGTCGTCTTTTGGCGAGATTGGCCTACGAATCGCTTCGTCATGCACTTACATACCGAATGACGCTAACACGCACACATACACATACGCATATACTCGAGCAAAAGTAACAGGACCAGTATGAAAGATAATTAACCAAACCACTCTGTCAACCTATCTAGATTTTTAATTTTATTTTGGCTCAATTGAGTCTATATAAGAAGTAAGATAGAGCCGGATAGTCTTCTTGGCC